AGGAAGGGGCAGTGAAAGAGAGAGAAACATCAGCTGCGTCCTGCACGCCCCCTACTGGGGACTGAGCCGGAAACCCAGGAGGTGCCCCGACCACGCAGCCTGGACACCTCTGTGCCTGGGACAAGTCCAGTCAACGGAGCCACGCCAGCCAGGCCTGCTGCTTCCTAACCAAGGACCAGGGACTCCATATCTTCGAACAGCACCCGCCTGCACCCGCCTGCACCCGCCTGCTCGCTGCGGCCAGAACCCCAGGCTGCGGCCTTGCTCGGTCTCACAAAGGCTGCGCCCAAGGGTGGGCCGGCCCAGGCTCTCCCGGGAGCTCTGGGGAGAAATCCGCTTCCCAGCTCATCCAGGTGGGCGGCAGGAGGAATCCAGGTCCCTGCGGTTGTGAGACTGAGCCCCTGTTTTCTCTCTTTTTTTCTTTTCCTTTTTAAATATATTTTTATTAGCTTCAGAGAGGAAGGGAGAGAGACATCAGTGATGAGAGAGAATCATGGATCGGCTGCCTCCTGAATGGCCTCTACCAGGGATGAGCCCGAAACCCAGGTATGTGACCCCAGCTGGAATCAAACCCGGGACCATTCAGACCACAGGCCGATGGATGTTGTTAGTTTGTGTGGGTCCACAGGCCAAATGCTCTATCCACTGAGCCAAACTGGCTACGGCCATTGATCTTTTCAAGAGAGTGAAAGAGAGAGGGAAAGGCAGAGAGAAATATTGATATGAGAGAAACACACAGATTGGTTGCCTCCTGCACACGCCCTGGTCAGGAGCCTGCAACCAAGGTACGTGCCCTTGACCAGAATCAAACCCGGGACTCTTTTGTCCGCAGGCTGATTCTCTATCCATTGAGCCACACTGGCCAGGGCGGCTTCTTCTCCTTGTCCCTGTCCTTGTCCTTGTCCTTCTTTGTAACAGCACATTTATTGGGTAAATTACAGAGGTAGAAAAAGTAAATTCTAGCCTTAGCTGGTGTGGCTCAGTGGATAGAGCGGCGTCGGCCTGCAGACTGAAGGGTCCCGGGTTCGATTCTGGTCAAGGGCACATTCTGGGGTTGTGGGCTCCATCCCCAGTCAGGGGGCTTGCAGGAGGCAGCTGATCCAGGATTCACTCTCATTGGTGATGTTTCTATCGCTCTCTCCCTCTCCCTTCTTCTTGGAAATCAATAAAAATATGTATTTTTTTAAAGTAATTTCCGGAAGACATGGGCTTAGGAAACAAGTGATGGAGGCAAAGGAAGGGCCCTTGGAGCTTGAGAGTGAGGAAGCTCATGGTGAAGTGTTGGGGGAGGGGAGAGAGGGCGAGCAGGTCCCTGTTTTCTTGCTGTTCTTTCTTTTTTTTTTTTTTAACATATTTTATTGATTTTTTTTATAGAGAGGAAGGGAAACAGATAGACAGAAACATCATGAGAGAGAAACATTGATCAGCCACCTCCTGCACACCCCTCACTGGGGATGTGCCCACAACCAAGGTACATGCCCTTGGTTGGAATCAAACCCGGGACCCTTCAGTCCACAGGCCGAGGCTCTATCCACTGAGCCACACCGGTCAGGGATTCTTGCTGTTCTTCAGCTCTTCTCAAATTCTCGACCCCACACTCACCCCTATATTCCCTGTTACATGGCCCCTCCCGCCTTCAAAGGCCCCAGAGTCCTAATTCAAGTGTCTCTCCTGTTCCTTCTCTGTTGTGGTCGGCAAACCGCGGTTCACGAGCCACATGCGGCTCTTTGGCCCCTTGAGTGTGGCTCTTCCTAAGCCTGAGGAGTCCCCTCATTAAGTTAATAAGAATGTACCGTCAGAACTGGTTTAGCTCAGTGGATAAAGCTTCGGCCTGCGGACTCAGGGGTCCCGGGTTCGATTCCGATTGGGGCATGTGCCTTAGTTGCGGGCACATCCCCGGTGGGGGGCGTGCAGGAGGCGGCTGATCCATGTTTCTCTCTCATGGATGTTTCTGGCTCTCTATCCCTCTCCCTTCCTCTCTGTAAGAAATCAATATATATATAATATATATATATATAAAGAATGTACCTACCTGTATAGTTTAAATTTAAAAAATTTGGCTCTCCAAAGAAATTTCAATCATCGTACTGTTGATATTTGGCTCTGTTGACTAATGAGTTTGCCGACCGCCGCTCTAAGGGCCCTGGGTCGACCCTCACATCCCGGGATCGTCTCCGTACGGTGAGGTCAGCTGACTCACAACCTCAGTGACAGCGGCCGTTTTGTGGGGGTTCCGGAGGGAACCCTGGAGGGGGCATCTTTAGAACTGTGCCCCCTCCAGGACATGACTCCCGATGCATTAGATCCACTGGAGTCGGGTCTGGGACAGGCCGATGCAGCCGTGGGCACCTCCATTCCTGTTTAGGTGGGAGAGGCAGCGGCTGTCTGTCCAAGTGAAGGGCAGCGTTCACAGAGGCCGCGTGACAGAGGATGGGGGGGAAACTCGAGACCAGGGAGGGCCCCCGAGGGAGGTGGTGGCAGGTGAGCAGTGTGAGAGGGGACTGCGCAGGCCAGCCTGGGGGTGGGCACAGCAGGAGAGGGGTGGCTGAGGCTGAACGGAGCAGACACAGGGGACGAGGCAGGCCACGGTGAGGGGCCACTTTCTGAGCGAGGACAATGGAGCCATTAGGAACGAGTTTTATTATTTATCTATTTACAAAAATATATATTTTAAAGATATATTTTTTTTTACTGATTTTGGAGAGGAAGGGAGAGGGAGATAGAAACATCAATGATCAGAGAGAAAACCATTGATCAGCTGCCTCCTTCAAGCCACCACTGGGGATCGAGCCTGAGACCTGGGCATGTGTCCTGACCGGGAATCAAACTGTGACCTCCTGGTTCATAGGTGGATGCTCAGCCTCTGAGCCACGCTGGCCAGGCTAGACTTGAGTGTTGTGGTTTTAAATTTATTTATTCATTTTTAATATATTTCTATTGATTTCTGAGAGGAAGGTGCCGGGAGCCGGTCCCTCCTTGCTGTTTCAGGGGACCTGGCATATATGGCATACTGTTCTTAATATGTTTGCTCACCTTCTTGGCACTATGTGTTTTAACCAAGGTCACCTCTCCGAGAAAGGTTGTTTCCCCAGGTAGGGATTTCCCCTGAAGTTAGGGAGGGAATAAAACCCCTTCACTAAGTGCCAGGCGGGTAATTAATCTCTTTAACTACGAACAATCACGCTTAAGCTACATAATTTTTGCTCCCTGGAATGATAAGAAACGCCCTAACCTTTGGAATAGAGATTGATAGGAGTGGAATCAACTGGTATAAATACAGATGTAACAAGACAACAAGACACAGAACCTACACACAGAACCGAGACACAGAACCTAGAGACAGAACCTAGCGAGAGAACATGACTAGAACCTGGTGCCTGAACCTGGCTGGAGAACCTAGCAAGAGAACATGGACACAGAACTTGGCTGGAGATTGTGGCTGTCTCTGTGTCATTCCTTCTTCGCCGACTCCGTCCACACCTTTCGGGACCCCTGGACCGGCTGGGATTGGACCCCAGCAGGAAGGGAGAGGGAGAGACAGACAGATCAATGATGAGAGAGAATCATTGATTGGCTGCCTTCTGCACGCCACTGGGGATGGAGCTCACAACCCCGGGCAGGTGCCCCCTGTCGGAATCGAACCTGGGACCCTTCAGTCCGAAGGCCGACGGTCTATCCACTGAGCCACACTGGCTAGGGCTGGACTTGAGTTTTAATGAGCTTCCTCAGGTCAGGAAAGGCTGCAGGGGGAGGAGGGGTAAGCCCCTGCCTGGCATAGTCCCCTTCCCCTCCACGACATGAGGCTGAGGCGTGCTGAGGTTCTGGGGGATCTTTAGACCTGAGGTCCAGGTCCTCCCGCTCCCTCCAGCCCCCAAGGGTAGAGCATGAGGTCGGGCCGGCCCCACTGCCGCACACCATGGGGTGGGCCTGGTTCATGCAGGAAAGAAACAGGAGAGACCTAGGCTGCTCCCTGTGCCCAGACAGCCCTTCCCACAGACTCTGCCCTTGTGGCTTCGGGCCTTTGGGGTCTGGTAGCTCACGCCCCCTGCAGAGGTAGGACCCATCTCACCCACCCCTACCCAGCCCCTTTTCCGAGCTCTGGGGCAGTCGTTCAGGTCCATATGACTCCATTTATTTGTCAGGACTCGTCCTGGGGCAGGAGGAGGGGGCGTAAGGGGCATCCAATCAGGCTACCTCCACCTTCTACCTGGGACCCAGGACCCAGGCTCAGGCACCAGGCAGAAAGTGGGCATCAAGGTCGGATGGGGTCTGCTCCCCCCAATACTAGCGAGCCCTCCTCCTGCTTGCACCCTCACTTCTGCTTGCACCCCCTCCTGCTTGCACCCCGACTCCTGCTCGCACCTCCCAGCGTCCAACCTGATTTTTTATTTTTTATTTTATTGATTTTTCACAGAGAGGAAGGGAGAGAGATAGTTAGAAACATCGATCAGCCACCTCCTGCACACTCCCTACTGGGGATGTGCCCGCAACCCAGATACATGCCCTTGACCGGAATCAAACCTGGGACCCCTCAGTCCGCAGGCCGAGGCTCTATCCACTGAGCCAAACCGGTTTCAGCGACCCGCTGATTGACAGCGCAGGCCCTGCTTCCTCCCCGTCTTTAGGGCGATGCCAGAAGTGTACTGCAGCCCAAAGAATCCTCGCCACCCTGCTGTCCCTGTGTCTGCGTCTTTTTTTTTTCTTTCTTGATGCTTCAATTTATTTCCTCTCAGAATTTAGGATCTTCCCCCATTTTTTTATTTAAAAATATATTTTATTGATTTTTTTAAAATATATTTTATTGATTTTTTACAGAGAGGAAGGGAGAGGGACAGAGAGCTAGAAACATTGATGAGAGAGAAACATCGATCAGCTGCCTCCTGCATACTCCCCACTGGGGATGTGCCCGCAACCAAGAAGGTACATACATGCCCTTGACCAGAACCGAACCCAGGACCCGCAGGCCGACACTCTATCCACTGAGCCACACCGGCCAGGGCAGGATCTTCCCCTTTAATTAACCCCCCAAACCTTCTTGGCAAGAGATGAACAAACAGAGTCACATCCAGAATCTCAATTCAAGGCGGGAGCAGGAAGTGGCAGCTCAGAGCACCAGGGAGTAAAGGCAGGGAGGGCCCCGCCCCTCCTCTGCTCGCACGAGAGTGTGGGGAGCAGGGCGGGGCCAGCCCCCCATCAGAGGTTCTTGGGTCAGGAAGTGGGAGCATGAACACATCTCCCATCACTTGGTCCCCACAAGGCAGCTGCCTCACGCTCCAGAGAGGCACCTCAGGGCCCTGGGCGCGGTCACTGCTGACAGCCTAAGCGTAGCTCCCTCCATTCCCACCTAAGCGCCTCCTCCCGCACAGCACAGCTCCGGCCACAGCTCCCAGCAGAACCAGGCCCCCAGCGATGCCCATGATGACGATGATGGAGGTCTGAGTAGGTGGCTCCCATCTCAGGGTCAGAGGCTCAGGCAGCCCCTCATGCTGCACATGGCACGTGTATCTCTGCTCCTCTCCAGGGGGCACCCCCACGGCCGCCCACTTCTGGAAGGTGCCGTCCCCCGCAGGCCTGGTCTCCACCAGCTCCATGTCCTGGGTCTGGTCCTCCCCGTCACGCTGCCAGGTCAGGGCGATGTCCGCAGGATAGAAGCCCAGCGCCCAGCACCTCAGGGTGACCTCACGGGCGGAGACGGGGTGGTGGGTCACGTGAGCCTTTGGGGGGTCTGCGCGCTGCAGGGTCTCCTTCCCTCTGTCCAGGTACATGAACAGCGACTCCACACACAGGCCCTCCAGGTAGCTCCTGTAACGCTCTGCTGCACCGACCGCCTCCCACTTGCGCCGGGTGATCTGAGCCGCCGTGTCGGCCGCGGTCCAGGAGGTCAGGTCCTCGTTCAGGGCGATGTAGTCGCCGCCGTCGTAGGCGTATTGCTCGTACCCGCGGAGGAGGCGCCCGTCGAGGCCCACGTCGCAGCCAGACATCCTCTGGAGGGTGTGAGGCCCGTCCTCGCTCTGGTTGTAGTAGCCGCGCAGGCTCTGCAGTCCCACTCGGTAAGTCTGTGCGGTTTCCTTGCTGATCTGCGTGTTCCGGTCCCAATACCCCGACATCTCCCGTTCCACCCACGGCTGCTGCATCCACGGCGCCCGCGGCTCCATCCTCGGACTCGCCGCGTCGCTGTCGAACCGCACGAACTGCGTGTCGTCCACGTAGCCGACGGAGAGGAAGCGGGGCTCCCGGCGGCCGGGCCGGGACACGATGGTGTAGAAATACCTCAGGGAGTGGGGGCCTGGGGGGCGGACGGAGGGCAGGGCCGGGGCTGGACACGCGCCTTCCCGGCCCCGCGCCCCCGCCGGGTCCCCTCGCTCCTCCCCGCACCGCCGCCCCCTCCGACCCCGCACTCACCGGCCCAGCTGGGGGTCAGGACACAAG